AGGAGGGTGCACCTCCGTGATTTGCTGTATAAGCTTATTATACATACAATATATTCTATCCTACTTCAGCCTGACTTATGATACAGACTTCTGATGGTCATTTATAGGAGAATACTTTTAAGTTTAGAATTACTGAAAGCAATGTTGTGTATATGGAGAGAGACATGAGGCAATGTGTTTGGATGGATATGGAAAATAGTATATGCAATGTCATGAAGTGCTGAGGACAACCCATATCTTTCTTTTCTAGCCGAACAATTAAATGCAGGCTTAACGTTAAAATAAACCGTAATTAAAGATAACCTAACTACTGCACAAAACTCTTTCGTTCTGGAGAAAATGATCTGCAATGCAGCCATGCCATTGTATCATATGAATAAAAGAAGTTATTTATTTATAAGTAATAAATTTATTGATGAATAAACGATAACACCTTCCAAGTCGTGTAAAAGTTATGAGGTGTGCTCTTTAAGTAGTATGAATCATCACTATCTTCAAAATAACTGCAATAATGAAATAAACTTTTGATAATTGAAGCTGAGGTAGATGTATGTAAATCAAATTTCCAGAATAAGTTTATTAGGATATTTCAGACATTTGCATTTAAAGTCACAACTGCGCCTTAACGGTATTTCTCATCACTAATGACACCTGTTTGTCTTGAGGTCGGCTGCTGGCTGAGTCAAGGATTCGCCATGATAGTTGAGCATCAGCAAACTCATTTGCAGCTTTGTCTCGGCGTTTGTCCTTTGATCCGCCTAATGTAAAAAAACCGGTTCATCCCCTGCGACGGCGATTGGAAATTCCACAGCCTTAAGACTTCAGACTTCTTCGCTGCTTCGTCAAAAAATGTTCCACCGCTCATCGAGCTTCGGTAGAAAACTTCCAAAGTTGCCCCCGGCTTCTTTAACGAAGGTACTCATGAGAGATTTTGTATTTGATTCTGGCATATAATTTGTGATGAACTAATATTGATTACTTCGTTTTGTGAATATTTTTTCATGACACATTAGCTATTTTTTGGGTCTTCCAAATCAGTGGTTATGACGTCGATAGAAAGCTTTTTTTGGCATCTACAGGAAGTGTACTCCAGCCTATTGCCCACTGACATAATTGACGTGTAAATGAACCTTACGTTTTTCCTATTTGCTTAGAAAAATATTCCAAGCAGCTTCGTCTAAAAGTTTGCTGAAGTTCCAGGATTTTTTAGATATTAAAACAGATTTGCATTTCCTGTCATTCGATCGTGGGATTCATTGAATCTCACGTTGTCGTACCTTGTCCAATAGCTGTTCTTTTATCCAATGCCACCGCTTCTTAAGTCTGCATTGCGCCAGATCCACTTCGATCAAGTATAATAATCAATTCAATGTTTAACCCTCAACTAGGTCAGTTTCTAAAGCCAGACAAGTGATGTCAAAGTTGGATTTCGTACAGAGGTTGCAGTGTTCGATGCCAAAGTCTTTCACTAAGCGTAAGCTGTTACAGCTTTGGTGATTTTGCTGTTCAAATCTATTTTGCATAAAATATTACTCATAATATTATGTCAGTCATGAGATGGTATCGCAGAATCGAGCGAGGTACCATTTTCCTTAGTCAGAATCAAAATAAGCTACCATGAACCCCAGCTAACGAATCTCTGACATCAGAAAGTAATAAACTTCGTCACGTCTATAAAAATCTGCATCAAAGAATCACAACAGACAGACAATCTGCCTAGTGACAGAACTGTGGCAGCTGTCCGAATTAGTCCGTAAAGAAAGCATGATAAATCTTGATCAGGTAGGTTGTCTCATGGACAAGATAAGATGATCAAGGTATATTGCCTGCTAGAGATTGTCAGGAAATACAAATAAAACAGAATCATTCTCTTTAATTGAAGGGTCAGGTTTGGAAAATCAGAGCCCAAAATACTGATCATGTTGTAATGTATATAAAATAATTTTTGGTAAGTCCCAAACGGGAAACAACGCATAAAATGTTTTTTATTTAAGGACATCTGACGTTTCAGACTAACCTCGGTCCGTCTTCGGAGTAGACGGACCGAGCTTGGTCCGAAACGCCAGTTGTCCCTAAATAACGAACATTTATGTGTTGTCTTCCCGTTTGTGACTTACCAAGAAATTGTATCATCTCCCGCATAATGGAATCATGTACGCTTTTCAACATTAAAAAATTATGATATTTATTACCGTATAAATTTAAAAATGTTGATACTGACGTTTGCTATATTGTTACGCCATTCAATAACTGGTTATTTAATAATTGTCCTTGATTTACAACACTCATACAAGACATTGTGCTACAGTTATGCTTATGCTCACAGATATCAATACCACGCTCCTTTCAGACAGTCATGGCATCAGTCATATTCTCGTCCTGTACAATCCTAGTGGGGAAGCCGATGTTTGCTCCATCACTGGTTCGCTGTTCTGTTCTGTTAGTGATTCTGAAATCAAGCCCCGCTATTTTCGAAACAGATGCCGTTCATTTTCACATAAGAAAACATCGCATTTTCGCGCTAAGTGTTTCTGACGCCAGCGGCCTTCACGTCAAACGATTTTAACACCCTAAGGTCTTGCCGAAGGCTTTGAATAGTAGTCAAACATGGATTGTGATTATGTATGAAATTTTCCAAAGTACTTTAATATCCTTCTTTCAGGAGGTGACCCACTGTCACCTTGAACTACCACAGTACCTGAAGACCTGGTTCAGTCCGCCATTTTTTCTGAAAGTTTTCAATGATGCTCGAATCAACCCTGGTGATCGCGTCATGTTTGAATGTGTGCTTCTTGGAAAACCCAGACCGAAGGTAGATTTATGAATATACTTATATGTTTCTTTTAACAGACGATGTTCATGGCAAGTAGCATTATGGCAATATGTACATTTGTAGAAAAAATTGACACAGTAAGGAAAAAGCGCCCACTTCGACTGTCTGTAAACAGACGTTACAACACTGTAACTATGAAAATATGTCGCTAGCATTACAAATTTGGAAAGAGGGGGGCAGTTGCTCAATGAGTTAGTAATTTGTTTTGCACTTCAGAGGTACCGGGTTAAAACTGCCCACACAAGCATGACTTTTCCCTTGTTGAGTACTAATTTCCTTGAACAAGGAATTCACCGGGCTGTGCTTAAGTGCAGCCAACAGAAAAGGGGGCTAGGCGATTTGGAATTTGGTGTAGTCATGTCAAAACCTGTGACGCGTGCAGTCTGATGTGTGTGCCTTCCGGCTGCAATTCACACTGACCCACCGAATAGCTGTTTAAACACAAGCACAAGATGTA